AAAAAACCGCGTTTCCTTTAGCATTTAAAGAAACCGGAAGTGCGCGCGATATCTATTGGAAGTTACCCTATCAGCGCATGCGCAATTTACACTACCAGTGCACTTCGGTAAGATCAGACAAAGCCACACAGAGTTAGTTTTTCTCTTTCTATTGCTCTTGTTTTTCTGTCTTTTTCTTATTTTGTCTTTGCTTGTACTTTTTTTAATTGCATTTTGTGAAACACAAAGAAGAACATCTAAAATGTAAGCGAATTTGCAAGTTACTGAGTTGTTTTTATTTTCGGCGCTCAGGCTGACGTAAGTAACCGGAAGTGAAATTTGACCTCCTTAGCAACGCGCGCGAGCGCGCGCATAAATCGGTTAATGGGCCCTTAATAAGGACCTTACGCATATACGACGGCGACGGCAAGGACGACGCCTATTAAAAAGCGTGTTTATATTTTATTTTCGAATGTCGCATTTACTTAGATCCATTCAGTGTTTTTGTCGGTATTAAAACTTGCCCCTGCTGAATATGCTACGAATGCGTTCATTTCCAAATAGAAATACCAAAAATTAGCCGTAGTGGGTCCCGTTGTCGAAAAACCTGAAAACTGGTCATTTCACGTTGTTGATTCGCAGGGGACGCCAAAGAAATGTACCAAGAATTATGATACACGTGCAAAGCCATTGTACTGTTCATTAAACCTTTTGTTTGGTGATGTTCTCGTTCCTGTTGCCGTCGTGTTTTGCGTAAGGTCCCTAATAAGCTCTCTAATTCCTCTGTCCTACCTGCTTAACTAGATAAATAACTATTTCTTCTCTTGACACTGTAGTTAGTCAGCCATATATAATCAAGATATACAATACAACACAAAATTTTGCCTCCCGAGTTATTTTGGCCGCGTACAAAATTACCAATCTTAAAGGAAATCTGAAAATAATGGTCTACTTAGATGGAAAAACAGTAAAGAGATAATAATAAACCATTAAAAAAAAAAGGAACAAGGATGGTTTAGACACGACATAATCGACTAATTTGAAAAATTTAGGCTGAACTTTTCAAGATGCGCGGAACGTGGCGTAGCTTCATTTAAGATTTAATTTCCTACTAGTCGGCTATTTCTGAAATGTAAATTTCTTGTGTTCGTTAGGGTTTAAAATAAGCCTATTGTCTTAAGTAATTATGTCCTCTGCAGTTACTGCCAATTCCAGTTCGTTACAATTAGCGCTTCGTTATCTTATTGCCCTTAATCGCTTTCAACATACCCATGTGTAAACTTAAGCTACCATGCCAATTGTAATCGCTTTCTTTTACTTCGAAGTGGCCTCAGTGAGGTCGAAACGTCGTTCATTTTTATCGCTAGTTTTTTAAAGTTAAATGTCATCAAAGAAACCGCCTATAATTCATAAAACTCAGGGAGTCTAGTTGTAAAAAGCTGTTCAAAACCTCCCATTGTAGTTTCAATATATTTACTCAACAGCCTATAAAATACATCACAAAGTCTTTGTGTTCCTATGTTTGTCTTCCTGTTATTCCCACTGAGTGTAAGGCGAAAAAACCAAGTAAACAAACAAACAATCAACCAATTGCAAACCTCAAGGATAAAATCAAAATACAACAAAAAACAGCAATAAAACGGGAAGTAAACTGAGCAACTCAAATGCATAGATACATATTTAATTCTCGCATTTACAACAAAGCTGTGGAAAGCAGTTACATAAAATGAATATTTACACAAACAATATTAATCGAGCATGTAAATTTACAAGGAACTCAACCTTCTGTGAGACAGACGTCTGTCGTTATGTACATCGACAAAGCAAATTCGTAAACACGCCCCTAAAAGCTACAAGCACAAGTAAACTCGCGGTAGTACTCAAAAGTTATTCTAAAATTTTCCTAATAAGCAAGTCCTCTACATTGAGCAGTTACTCCTGCGAATCTTCGTCCAGTCTACTGACTGAGGATAAATTCGGAAGTGGACTATTAGGATATGGATTTTTCTCTCGAAAAACCGCGCTGCTCTTTGTACTCTTCAACAAAACTGGGAACTTTGGTTTCACCACTTTTGCGCTGTCCCTGTATGACGGGCCTTGCTGTGCAGCGTAAACTGAAAACAACTGGTTTAATCTCCTCTTTTCACAAAGCCCTTTCTCTCTAAGTTCTTCTTGATTTTTACGCTCAGCTAAGGTTTCCTCTCGCGCAACTTTGGCTCTTTCTTTTCGCGATTTCAGCTGGCGAGAATATTCTTTCGTTCTTTCGGCTTTCTGGTGAGGTTCTTGATTTGTAGAATGCGGATTCAGCTTCTTACTCTTTTTGTGTCCTGGCCTTTTTTTCCCCGAGCGACCATTGTTGGCAGCTTCCAGATAATCCAGCGCCGAGTAAATACGCTTGGCGGCAACAAGAGAACTTTTTCCCACGCTATCAATAGATGGAAAAAAACCCGACATCTCGCAGACAATGCACTCCGTCTTATCAATCTCGCTGAGGATTATCTTTGACAACGGTGGTAAATGCCGAAGTTCTAAATGCACTTTTCACACTAAGAAAGGTGCAGAAACTATTATACAGACTTGATCAGCACAACACACTAATTCGTCATAATTGCGATGACGACTTCTTGCGTTCGAACGAGCGCGCGCAACCTGGGGACAATTTTGTTTAGAACGTTGTTTCGAAACAAAGTTATAATTTGCATTCGTTTCGGCCTGATACTTTGAAGTGTTCTATTTTTTCAGTTGGCAAAAATAGCATAGCTGAAGAAGTAAATATCTAATAAGCTGAGATAAAAAGTTTTCTACTAATTAGCAGTGTAGAAGCTAACGAGGTTTTTCTTTCCAATTCGAATTTTCCTTTCGAGAAACAAACGCGCCGATTCAACGGTTGGGTGTTTGAGAATACGATACAGCGTAGCGGTGCGACTAAAAAACACCAGGCACATAACTAAAGATAACGTCCGCATCAAACATTAATATCCAAGCGGTACAGATGGATAGCGCATTCAACCATCATCTCAGCATAGTCTGGTATCTGAAAATACAAAAAAAAAAAAAAAGAGCGTCAACTCCACAACCGTGTCGTCGTGGTTGCTTAGCACTGGCTAATTTTTACGGCGTATAATTGTTGGACGTGGTCGACATTAGTCAGGCTTTAGGCCCCGTCCACACTACGCCGGAGGAGTTTGAAAACGGAGGTTTCACTCCGAAAACGCATCAAATGTTTACCGTCCACACTACGCTGGAGGAGTTAAAAAACGCAACGGTCGTCGGTCATTTTCGATCTGTGTTTGAGGAAAACTCGGTCAGGGAAATCACAAAATTATCGTGACGCCATCGTTGTCGAAAAGCTCCGTTTTCAAAATGTTTTCCGTCCAAACGAAAACGAAAACCCAGCGTTTTTAAATTCCTCTGGTTTGAAGAGCGTTTTTGAAAAGCTCCGTTTTCGCGACGGATTAGTGTGGACGGTAGGCCTAACCGTACAAATAAAGCTGCGTTTTCAAATTTCTGAAAGAGAAAACTGACAACGAAAGTTTATGAATGTATCTGTTCTTACCTCTGAAAGGTTAAAATGGCAGCGATGCTCAAGATGAACTCAAGCCCAAGGAATACCAAGCCGATACCAACCAGAATGACTTCTATCCTCAGGCTAAATAAAACAGAAATCATGAATTACATTGAATTAAAGAAGCTCAGTCACGTTATTTTGAGTTATTTTGGCCACGTACAAAATTACTTCTAAATTGAAGGAAACCTGAAAATAGTAGTTTACTAAAAGCACCAAAGAGATAATAATTAACTATAAAGGAACAAGGATGGTAGAGGATGGAGAAGATTAACACGGATTGCTAACGACGAACTTGAAAAATTTATGTTAAACTTTTTAAGATAAGCAAACCGTGGCGTAGCTCCTTTAATCTCGATGCCAACATACAAATTCTCCTCAATAGTCTCTATACATTTCTAGTGTTGCTAATTGTGAGACCTGATTGCCAAGACAATTCAATTTCAGAATCTGCGGTCACGTCCTTCATTTATATCGTGACTTGTTAGTCCTGGGGCGCTTTCCATTCAACCAAAAAATCAGGAACTTTCTGAACAGAGGCAAACGTTACGGAAATTTCCTGGAAAAGTTTTCGGATATTCCGAAAGGAAAGCCGAATGAAACGGAAATTTCCGGTCAGAAATTTCAGAAAATTTCGGTATACCTCGCCAGGCTGTCCTATTTTCCGGAACTTCCAGAAGATGATAAATAAGACACTAGAAATTTTCGAAAATTGCAACCAAAATTTTTCCTCCAATGGAAAGCACCCCTGGCCAGTTCTGAGCTTCTGGAAAAAAATTTCAAGCCACGCCCACAAAACAGGACCTTTGTACCTCTTGGGGTTCTTTTCAAAATTTCCGACATGTGCACCCATCCTTTATATATGGGGGTTCCCCCTCCCCCCTGGGACTTGAACACGACCCCAAACTTTTGATGTAAATTCACCACTAACACGTATGTCTGCCACAGTAGGATGAATAACTCAATAAACAGAACAGGTATACCAAGCACCACAGAAAACACAAGCGCCATTGTACGTTCTGCCAGGTTGCCTTTGTAACCTAGTAGTCAAAAGCGAACAAAAAAAACTAAATTATCATTTCATTCCCCTCAAAAAAAAATGTATCGGTTATCAGAAAGTACAAAAAAGTGCATTGCTGTCAACATTGAGATACTAGTAAGTAGTGGTAATAGGATTGAGTGGAGTCCAATTTGATCGGTTATCATAAGAGTGATAACAAAATCGGACAACTGCGCAGCAGGAGTCCGATTTGTTTATCACGAGTATGATTGCAGACCAAATTGGACGACAGGAAGTCTTGTTACCAATTACTCACAAAAATTACAATTTCCGAGAAAAGAAGAATAGCCAAGTTATGAAAGAAAGGGAAAATTTGCATTAAAATACATACAAAGGAGATGTAAACATGCTAAGACCACCACCCCTCCTACCGGCAATTAGGCGCCAAAAACACAAAGCAAGTGCACACGCACATGCACATAACTACATCTTTGAATGTGATTGGTTGATTTAAACTACAACTTTGAATGTGACTGGCTTATTGAACTGTCTGATAATAAACTGTCCAATAACAAACTGTCCGATAGCAACTTGGCAAGTGAATTAGTGGAAAATAGGAGTTTTTTAAACCAATCACAATCGAGGAAATTGTAATTTTTATGATTAGTGGCATTATCAAGCGTTATCACCTACAAATTAAGGTGTCCACAGTTTTAGGCAGACTTCCGCTGTCATGTTTTAGTTTATATAAATTATCAGGTGTGAGTATTACTGGTTTTATGTATGCAAAATGAAATTCAGGGAAAAAAATGTCCGTAGGGAACTTAGGCCACATGCATCTGTGGAAAGAGTTGTGCATGAAGATAGTACACTTCATGCTCATAAACATACAGCTTAACCTCAATATATCTTGAGATTCCCGGCTATTTCGAACTCAAATAATTTTCCCCTACATAAGCTTTTTCAGTTGCTTGCTATCAGCTATCTTGAATTCCCTATTGTACATTTCCCTTGGAGCTTGTGATAGCAGACTGCAACTGTTACTAAACTAATGCAACAGTGGAAATCCAGCATTATTAAATTGATGTGCTCCAGTAACATGTAAGCAGTGACTAATATGCACGGCGAAACTTGTAACATATAATATATTTCCCTATTTGAAACTGTTTTAAACTGCTGGCAGCCAGTCTTTTCTCTTGTGGTCACATGAGAGTTTATCCATGAGCATGAATACAAAGGGGCAATATTCATCTCAATCCCTTCAAGCCTGAAACATCCTACCCAACACTTTCCACCTGGATTTTCAAGAGAAAAACAGACCGCTAGCAGCCTAAAACTGTTTTGATCATGATACCAGCACAAAAACAAGTTTTAATCTGATGAATAATAAGTTTTACATACCAAGAAAGATCCTAACACCTTCAATAAAAGCCAAAAGAAATATGATGATGATCTCAATAGTCAGGGTTCTTACCATGTCAGGGTATGGCAAAATTGTACCTGTAGGCAGAAGACATCGTAAAAAAAAAATTTATTCTTGACAAATGACAAAAGTGAAGTGGAAAAGGTTTCGATTTTTGTACAGCAACCACTCCCTCTTTGTCTTGCTGACCTGCCAACAATCCTTTATGGTAATGCGAGTTGACTGTAAGCAAAGTGCAAACTAAATATATTCCAGTGACTGCCTCTAGTTAAGGTTGATTCTTTAAGATTATTTTGTTTTCTGAATCAGAAGGTTGTGTGAAACGAGCTTGCTGTTTGTTGCTGTCTTCACTCAATAGAAACACAGAACAAGCAGGAGCTGTTGATGTAAAGATGTCACGAGCAAAGTGAATTTACATTAGAAAACATGTTCTCTGTGTTTCTATTAAGTTTTAGTATACATATGTAAATCTACTTGTGTTCTATCACGAATGCTGTTCACTGATTCGCTACGCTGACTTGCTATCTGTTCTGCTGTAGATAGTAAGTAGCCTTGCAGTGTGCACTTGTTATGAATATGACGGAGTTGCTATGACAACAGCTCTAAGGGTGTCAATTTGTTTCTTTTGTGATGTACATTTGAGGTGCCAAGTTTCAAGAGCACTGCATCGATATTCCTAGAGATATTGTTTATTCAGATTTTACTAGTTTTAGTTGCAAACAATATGACGTCATCACTGATGTAATTTGCATAATAGAAAAACGTCAATATCTCTAAAACGAAAAAAGATATTTCAAAAAAAATGCCATTCTTCTGTATTTTGAAAGGCCTTTCAAATAAGCAGAAAACATTTTTCATGTCATGTGCATTTTAACAATTAGATTATGAGCTCGAGATTTTTACTGACGAGGGTGCAGCCCAAGTCAACTATCATGTATAGAAATGGAGAGCGATTAATCTACTTGTTTAGTATAAATCTACTAGTCGTACAAAACTTCATCTAAATCCTCTTCACAGACACTTCGAAAACACAAGGAAGTGGCCGTCATTTTGTTAGCAAGGGCACACTGCTACACTACTCACTATCTACAACAGAATAGACAGTGAGTAGTGTAGTTAATAAGAGAACGGTATTCATGATAGAATGTTAGTAGATTTATACTAAAACTTGAAAGATACACAGTACATTTTCTATTTATTAAATATACATCAGGGCTTAATGTTATTATACTTGGCTTATTCCACTGACTATTTTTCTTATACCAAAGTTGCAATGTGTTTTTTTCAGCCAACATACCTTTGTAGACATAGAGCAAGAGCTCAGCAACACAAAATACCATGGCATACCAAATGTTCAGAAATAGAAAAATCTGAAGCGGCAATGATGAATGCTACAGACGAAAGTTAAGAACAATAACATTGTCCATTATCTGAGGAACTAATTTAAAAACCCAGACTACTTAGCAAAGAAAGCAGTCTCTCCATGTCAGTGTTAAGTGCACTCCCTATGTATTTAGCCTCCCACGCAGACGCTCGTAGGGCCCATCACATGTTCTTTCCCCCAAGAGCCCTAGGAGCATATGCATTGGAGGTTATGCTAAATTAAGAAATATAAGAAACTTACAGAATGACCAACTCCCAGATGGCTTGATGCCTGAGTTGGCCAGCCATTACACTGGTATTGCAGAGTGTTTAAAATCCACATATATTTTTAGGCTTCATTTCCGGTGCTCTCTTGGATAATTTCCCAAATCAGTGACAAGTAATCAAGCAAGCCTACATTTATTGTTGCAGCTGCCTGAGGAATGCACATAACTGCAATGATCTCTAATGCAAAAAAAAAAGGAGCATGGGAACTAAGCCAAACATGAACATCTGATGTTCAATTTTCCGTGCAGTTGTCAGCAAAAGCTACCATACTAGGTAAACTTATTATCTTCTGAGATTTTACGATAAACGGAAGTATACCATCTCTAGAGACTGTGTGTTCTTGACACTGGTGAGTCTGGTCTATTGAACAGCTATGGGACTGTTAGTGTATTATTAGTGTGGAGGGGGCATGGCCTACGGTAGTAGTTGGGGCGCTGGATTTGTAATCTGGAGGTCCTGGGTTCAAATCCTCCTCCCTGCCACTAGATGAATTTGTGTTTGGTGGTTCCAGATTCAACTCCTCCACGCTTCGAAAATAGCCAACTGGTCAGCCCCCAACCAGTTGGAATTTTTAACAAGTTTCTCTTTAATTTTCGTTATTTATTTGCTTATTTCAGTGTCAATGCACAATTAGTACTGCTGTACTAAACACTTCGACACTTGGTGGTGTATCTAAGTTATATTCAAGGATACTTCTTCAACAGTCTTTCCTAAAGAGTAGGAAGAAATAAGAGCAGTTTTGAAAATATAATATACATAAATACGTTTAATTCAAACTAACAAATATGACACAGGTCTAGCTGGCCATGGAGCAATAACAAATTCAAACGGAATCACTCATATTGGCATGCTTGTAAAAGTCCCAGAGAAACAGAATTCGCTGTAAAACTCGATCCTCGAAGGCATAAAGGAAAGGACCTTGAGTATTATGCTTGTATTTTAGGTTACCACCACAAATTAACGGACAAAGGATGAAAAAATTAAAGGATGTACAAACCTCTGTTATCGCCCGCCATATTTGTTTCCTCCGTAAGTCATCCGCTGACCCCATTAGTATCCTTTTGTTGGCATGGTAACAACATGTAGAACGTCAGATCTTCGCGTAACTGCGGTGATGAGCGTTTCATTATTTGGGACGTTTTAGGCTCGAAGAAACGAGACAAAATGACAACTAAAACTAAAACAACTGTCTCAGCTGCCATCGATGCAATCAATGAGGTTGCTTCACCCCTGGATTTTTCTTTCAAAGCTTTGGCGGAACTTCAAGGTTTGTTTATGTCTTTCGCCGTCTTCGATCTTCTCGTGTTGAGAGTTCAGCTTAGTAAGCTCCCAAGCTTAACTTTAACTGAAGACTTAAGCTTAAGCTTATAAATAGTTTGTCTATGAAACTTCTTTACAGATGCAATGGATGAAGAACCAAGGCCAGGCCCCCACAAAATTGAGGTAAACACAGCACAGCTTTGGGCAAATGTTCAAGTGTATTGGTTCTCTCCTGGGGTGGTGGGGAGGGGGAGAACTGGACCAATGTCTGGGTCTAGGGGTGCCGCCAGGGGTTTGAAATCCTGACCTTGTTTGGGACCAAAAGTTCACTTATATACAGGCTGGGAGAACTTTAATGTATCAATTAAATGCAGTCATCACAATCC